CAGATTAGGCAGAGATGGCAGTCTTACTTTCATAGGCTCTTGAATGAAGAGGGAGATAGGGGTAGGGGTGTGCATTCGATTTATCGATTCGATTTTGATCCTTATCCATAATTACTTATCGATTATCGATTTTTACATATGCTTATCGTTATCGTTTCAATAAGGTTTCGATTTTTTCGATTTCGATTTATCGATTTTGGGGCTTATCGATTCGGTTATCGATAACACCAATAAGCCAAGAGGGATCACAGATAACCATAGGTTCCCAAGACAAACAAATGCACAACTATTTCATTTCGCACTGTTTCTATGACAAGAAAAAACGAAAGAAAAGGGACACGCACATAGTGAATATTATACATCTCACACGAGTAAAAACTAAAAAGAGAGCAATTACACCAAAGAAAGGTCAATTGTTCAAGTAGCAAACAACTAGGGAGAATTTCTGCTCCAATGAGAGGAAGAGTTCAAGTTTGGTCAGTCTAGATGCAATTGCAACTTTCAACCAAGAATCTAGATGAGATGAATATTCACTATCCATGAAGAAACCCACCGTCAGGGAACGTATATGCCTTCCACGCATCAGCTGCATCATGATCTGATCCACACCCATAACAAACTCACGCCTTTCCATCTCAGACATCAGGTCATACATCTCACACGAGTAAAAACTAAAAAGAGATTAATTACGTAAAAACAAGAGCTCTCAAAACAGATTATACATCAGATCACATCACAAGTTGCTATGGAAGCACAAGCCAAAACCAACGACACAAGACATATGACCCCAAAAGCAAGCACAAGCCAAAACCTTCCTCTGTATAAATGTTACCAACCTATACAGCAAGCTAAACAAAAGCACAAAAGCATACTAGCTGTTGTGCACAAAAGCACAAAAGCTAAATAGAAGCACACACGATCTTGCCATACATAAAATGTAAATAAGACATGATTCCAGCAAAAGAAACTGTGGCAACAAAAATGAACACGATCTTGCCATACGCAGCTCATTTACTTGCGATGATAACCGTGGCAGCAATGGTACAGCAAAAGAAAATGAAGTTCCAACAACTTGCGAATCACCAGTTGATGGGCAGCAAATCAATGGGCAGCAAATCAAGTTCGACTTCACGAGCCCAACTTCAACGTCCATGTTATAGCTATAATGGGCAGCAAATCAAGAATCAACCCTCAAGTTATTAAAGAGAAAAATATTAAGAACTTTGTAATACATCACATTCTTTTACAAGTATATTATTTAAAATGGAGAACTTACATAGCAACTAACACACTCTAGCAAACATCGTCGGTGGAAGCTTCTTTGCCAAGATTAGTAAAATCTAATAAGAAAATATATTAACAAGTCAAGCAATTAATATATTATTTAACTATCTTAAGCAATACAATAAAATTAATTAAAATATACATACCTTCCTCGAGTGTCTCAAAAAAATCTAAATCTTCCTCAACATTTACAGGAAGTGATTCACTTCGAAGCCAATCTTGAAGGCACACTAGAGTTTCAACCAATTTAGGAGTTAATGAACTCCTAAATTGGTCAAGAATACGCCCCCCGGTACTAAATGCACTTTCAGATGCCACACTTGAAATAGGAATAGCAAGCACATCTCGAGCCATCTTAGCAAGAATAGGAAATCTAGGTGAGTTGACCTTCCACCAAACCAAGATATCAAAGTCTGGTCTTTCATTTTCAGGATCTTCTGCAAGATACTTTTCCAATTCTGTTTTAGAATCTACACCTCCACTTGCAGCTTTATGTTTCCTTATTTCATCTAAAAGTTCACCTAAACCAGGAGTTGAAGTTTTCATTGTGCTAAATGAAGAGCTTGGAAAAGAGGTAGAAACGTTACCACCAGTATCTTTTGAAACCGACTTAGAGACATACTCATTAAACAATAAACTCATATAAGTATGAACCTCTTTTTCAATAATTGTCCCTTCATCTCCAAACATCTTCTTAAGTACAAAACTAACAGTAGTAAACTTGTAGCGAGGATCCAAAACACAAGCAATGAAAATCATTTTGTTCATTTTTGTTGGTTCACCCCAATACTTCTCAAATTTTTTCCACATACTTAATGCCATCTCACTCAAAAGTACATCTTCAGTTGTTATTAATCGATTTAAGTAAACAGCAACTTGACCAATTGCAAGAAAATGGGAATTCGATGTTACATAAAGTGATCCGGACACCTTCAAAGTGAGATTATAAAATATTTCAAGAAATTGTGCAATTCTCTTTACATTATCCCAATCAGTTCTTGTAAGCAAACCTACAGGCTTTCCATCTGAAATAGCATCAAACATAAGATAACGTGACAAGCCGGTATCACGATCAGAATATTCTTTAATTGCACGCTCATATTCAATAGCTCTGCTCAACATCAAGTAGGTGGAATTCCACCTTGTAGGAACATCTAAGCATAAAGACTTCTTGACAATATTTTCACTTTCACAACATTCCTGAAACTTCCTCAACCTAGCAGGAGACTGTCTAATGTATCTGACTGCACATCTAACATGAGCAATAGAAATACATGACTCTTTTAAACCATCTTTCACAATAAGATTTACAATATGAGCCATGCATCTCATGTGAAAGTGTTGACCATTCATGGAATTGGTTCCCCAATCATCTAATTTGTCAGACAACTTCTCCACGGTCACATCATTTGAACTAGCATTGTCAACTGTGACAGTGAAAATCTTTTGCAAACCCCACTCACGCAAATAATCAATAATACACCTTGCCATATCTTCACCTTTATGACTAGTAATTGGAGAAAAGTTAATAATTCTTTTATGCATAATCCATTCACTATCAATCCAATGGGCTGTGATGCACATATAGTTAATTTTTTGAATAGAAGTCCATGTATCAGTGGTAAGACTTACTCTTTGACTTGTTCCTTTAAGAAACTTCATTAATTTATTTTTTTCCACATTAAAAAGAGCAAAACAATCCCGTGTAACAGTAGTACGGGAAGGAATATGAAAACAAGGTTGTGCCACTTTCATAAAGTTTCTAAAGCCTTCCCTCTCAACAAAACTAAACGGAAGTTCATCAACAATCACCATACGACACAAAGCCATCCTACACTCTTCTTGATCAAATTTCCATGGAATAAGACCACCTTTATTACCCCCCGGTAATGTTTGAAATTGTAATAGTTTTTGACCTTTTTCAACTTTATAAGGATTCTTTGGACATTTATCGATATGACCATTCATTTGTGTCGTACTTTTTCCTTTTGTCTCAAAATATTCTTGTCCACAAAATCTACATGCATATTTATTATTTCCTTTAGCATCAACTTTTTCTTCAAAAAAATCCCATGCCCGAGATCGTTTTCTCCTTTGTTTTGAAACTGTCGAGTGAGTAGTTGCAACCGTAGACTCGGAACCTTTACTTTCATCAGCTACTTTATCAATATTATCATTTTCAGCCATGTGAAGTGAATGAAGAATGTAACTTACAGTCTTAAACGAGTTTGCAACTTGGCTGTACTAAAAAGACAAGCCCAACCTTCAGAGTCGCACACCTCTTGGTTCAATCTTAAACACTTCTTGCTTCTGTTTTGAACCTGAATAACACTGAAGATAACTAGTCATTAATTGAACATGTCTAAGTGATAAAAAACTTAAAAAGCACAAGCAATAATAGATTAAAATAAGAGCTGGATTGTGTTTACGCCTCCTCATTAATCAAGGCCTCTCACATAAATGGCAAATACAAACTGTTGCACTTTATATGTGCAACCATATAAAAAAGGTGCTACTTCACAATGCTTTAAAAAAATTCCTTAAAATATATTTAACCATCCGAACCCTAAATTTTTTTCTCCAAATGCAACACCTAAAAGATAAACAACAACTTCAAAAAGAGTGCATTTATTGTTGGTTAATGAAGTTGCTGGACAGATTTTACTATGAAGCTGCTGGACAGATGCAAAAGTGGAACTAATAGTGAAATAAATATCCATATGAAGTTTAAAAAGCCAGACTAACGTAGAAATAGAGACCTAGCAGAAGAAATATTTCCACAAACTTAAGAAATATTACATTTTAACATACAAATCTTTGAAACTTCATTTTCAACAATTCATGGTTGTTATTTCATAATTTCAATGTTAGAAGTTTTGACATTTGTTACATTCTGTTTTTAATAACTAAGAAATACCTGAGGATTAGCTGATGCACGGAGGTCGCCGGAGCTTTTATGAAACCGGGAAGAATGACAATAGACAGAACTGAGAAGCACCGGACCGGACTAAACAGAAAGTGAAGACTGAAAACCCTTTTAATTTTGGGTCTACGCACAGTGAAGACTGAAGAGAAGCGGCGTTCAATAAGGGAGGAAAATAGGGTAAGCCGGTTAGGGTAGGGACTTAACTTAAGTGAAGGGAAAGGGTAGTATTATAAAATAAGGGCATATTTGTCTTTTTGGTATTTCTTATCGGTTTATCGATAAACCGATAAACCGAAAGGACAAAATCGAAATCGAAATCAATAACTCGATAAGGAAAATTTCTAAATCGAAATCGAAATCGATAAACCGATAAACCGATATCGATAAACCGATAACAAATAATCGATTCGATTTATCGATAAACTGATTCGAATGCACACCCCTAGATAGGGGCATTGTGCTGGGAGAGTTGGAGCACTCGGAGCGGCAGCGAGCTTTTGGGTACTGTAGACGTATACGAGTGGGGGAGGTTGTAGGGGCTATGTGCAAGATGAGTAGGGGTAGAGCGACGGGGCCGGACGAGATCCCGGTGGAATTCTGGAAGAGTGTGGGTAAGGAGGGCTTGGAATGGCTCGTTGGGTTGTTTAACAACATTTTTAGGACGAAGAAGATGCCCGAAGAATGGAGGCGGAGTACGATGATCCCACTGTACAAGAATTAGGGGGATGTCCAAAACTGCAACAACTATAGGGGTATCAAGTTGTTAAGCCATACGATGAAAGTGTGGGAGATGGTGATTGAAGGGAGGTTGAGGAGGTGTGTGTCCATTTCCGAGAACCAGTTTGGTTTCATGCCGGGACGGTCGACCACTGAGGCCATTCATATTGTGAGGAGATTGGTAGAGCAGTTTAGGGCGATGAAGAAGGATTTGCACATGGTGTTCATTGACCTGGAGAAGGCCTATGACAAAGTCCCCAGAGAGGTTCTATGGAGATATTTGGAGGCTAGAGGAGTGCCTATAACGTATATTAGAGTGATCCAAGACATGTATGATGGAGCTAAGACACGGGTTAGGACAGTAGGTGGAGATTCGGATTACTTTCCGGTTGAGATGGGGTTGCATCAGGGATCAACACTTAGCCGTTTTTGTTTTCCCTGGCGATGGATTCTTTGACACGTCACATTCAGGGGGAGGTGCCTTGGTGCTTGCTATTTGCGGATGACATAGTCCTGATTGATGAGACGCGAGGTGGCGTTAACGAGAAGCTGGAGGTCTGGAGACATACCCTAGAGTCTAAGGGTTTCAAGTTGAGCAGGACCAAGACAGAATACTTGGAGTGCAAGTTCGGCGGTGTTACCCTGGAGGCGGACGGGGATGTGAAACTCGATACGCAAGTCATTTCCAGGAGAGAGAGTTTCAAGTATCTGGGATCTATAATTCAGAAGGATGGGGAGATAGATGAGGATGTCACACGCCGTATCGGAGCAGGGTGGATGAAGTGGAGGATCGTTTCTGGTGTCTTGTGTGATAAGAATGTGCCGTTGAGACTTAAGGGTAAGTTCTACAAGGTAGTTGTTAGACCGACTATGTTGTATGGGGCAGAGTGTTGGCCAGTCAAAACCTCTCATGTCCAGCAGATGAGGGTAGCGGAAATGAGGATGTTGAGATGGATGTGTGGGCATACTAGGTTGGATAGAATTAGGAATGAAGTTATTCGAGACAAGGTGGGAGTGGCCCCTGTGGAGGCAAAGATGCGTGAGGCAAGGTTGAGATGGTTCGGGCATGTTAAGAGGAGAAGTGCAGATGCCCCTGTCAGGAGATGTGAGAGGTTGGCCTTATGAGGGGCGAGGAGGGGTAGAGGTAGGCCAAAGAAGTCTTGGGGAGAGGTGATCAGGCGGGACATGGCGCTACTTGAGCTAACCGAGGACATGACTCTAGATAGAACGGTGTGGAGGTTGAAGATTAGGGTAGAAGGTTAGTAGGTAGTCGTGCATCTCCCTTTGTCTTCTCTAGCTCGATAGTATTAGCGCTAGTTCGGTACCCTTTTTTCCCTTAGTTTTCTATATTCGTATGTCTCGTTTCGTTGTTACTTGCCATTGGTAATTCCGTAGTTTGCTAGCAGTACTTCGTTCATATTCTCGTCTGCTGCCTTGGAATTAGTTTTCTAAATATGTTATCTTGCTGCTACCTGTTATCAGTACCCCTTTCATATTATCTGTTGCTATCTCTGGTTTAGTTTTCTAATTATTGTTTTGCTATTACTTGATACCAGGGCTTCTCTCACCTTCTTTAATCGAAGGTCTATCGGAAACAGTCTCTCTGCCCTTCCAGGGTAGGGGTAAGGCTGCGTACATCCTACCCTCCCCAGACCCCACTTGTGGGACCACACTGGGTTGTTGTTGTTGTTGTTGTTGTTGTTGTTGTTGTTGTTTTATCTTCAATTGCATGGACATAATTATGGGCCATTCGTATAGTGCATAAAATACACATAAATCTCTACTTTGCTCCCAATTTCATCTTCAACGTACCTACACATAAAATAAACTCAATTAAGCACAAATATAGTATAGTTTAGCATTAAAGCACTTAAAATATAAGGTAAAAAATGTACTAAAATATGGAATTATAGCCGAACATCACTGCTCTCTTTTCCTTTATTTTATATTACTGAAATTAGGGATTGAGAGATAGAGAGAGACGTAGAGAGAATCCCAATTCTTCGCAACAACACCCAATTCAAACAAATAATATTTTTTGAAAATCCAAATTCGAATTAAAGGGAAACAAACGAAACAAAAAGCTAAACTTTTTCTCTGACTTCGAATGTGTAGGTGACCAGCTAGATTGAGCAAAATATTGCAAGAACTTACAAAACTTTGAACAACGAATAAATATTTTTGTTGACTGATCTTCGAACCATTAGTTAATGAACCATCAGTTTTGTTTAAATTGATTCAAAGCTTCAAAGCTTTTTAATGGTTATCAATGGTGGAATTGCTGCTCTCTTGTGCAAGATACGTGGGGATGGGGGGTGTGGAGAGAGAAACGTGGGGGGAGTTGAAGATACATTAGAGTAATTTTAGGACACTAATTATTATCATTCATTCCCTTAAAATGTACATAAATGGTAATTGGGTATATAAAATATAATTATAATAAAACTTGAGTAGGGAGGGTAGTATAGTTTCATATAGTGTAGGAATGTAAAAATTCCTATTGGTAATTAGGCCTACGGGCTGGCCTCGGCGCAGCCTTGGTCTAACATTAAGGGCTAGTGGGCTGATTCGGATTGGGCCTACTAGCCTCGGTTCTATATGAGTTTAAAAAAATTTAGGGGTCGTTTGGTTCTCGGACGGAGTTATTCCGGAATTATAGTTCCGAAATTATTATTTTAGGATTAGTAATGCTTGAATTATTTAGTACTAGTGCCTTTTCTGGTTCATTAGATTAAAAATGGATACACGATGCATAATCCAAAGTTGTGTTTGATTTCAAACTAAATAAACTTAAATAAATTTTTTGTTTTATTTTTAACCTTGATTATTTTAGTGACATAAATATAGGTGAATTTTTTTCATTTTTTATAATAAAGATAAACATATCGCGTACACCAAAACAAGGAATTCTTTTAGCCGCAAGATGCAAAGTGCAGCAACAGTTTCATAAGAAAATTATTCAAATAATGATAAACTCAAATATAAACAGCTCGATAGATAAATTCAAAAAACTGCAACTTCTAAAATTTTGCATACATTGATTTGTTATGCTATCCACTCTTTTTCTAGGGTATTATCACTTTTAGCCCGCGCCAAAAACTATTTACATCTGGTAGCAAAAAAAAACTATTATTTTTACAACGGGTATACAGTGTCATTTTTCCTTTTTTTAGATACAAAAGAAATGAAAGTCCAAACGCATTTCAGTTCAAAATAAAATTTACAACCCAATCCATTAGAAAGCACCAAAAAATTCCACTACAGAGTCAACTTCAAATCACAGTGAAAAGGAAAGGGCTTGAGGAGGCTAACATGGTCATTTTTGATTTTTATCCTAGGATTAGTTATCCTATCTATAAGGTGAGATAAAATAATTCTAAGATGGTGGTACAAAATTATACTGATTTTAGTTAATACCTACAATTAAATACGAGATAAATTTAATCCCAAATTCTATCACGGAATAACTCATCTAATCCCGTGAACAAAACGGCCCTTAGGCCAAACTATATAAATAACTCTGATATATAGTACTACAACATATAACCTAGTAACTTCAACTTTTTTTGTGAATGGAGAAGAAACAAATGACCCCCCCCCCCCCCCCAAACAACCCCCAAAAAAAACAAAGAAATAAAAGAAGAAAGATAGAAGGCATAGTGATGTATCATAGAAGTATAAACTACTTCTCTATTTTTGTACAATCCGACCGGTCATTCTGAGCATTTGCATTTCTATTCGATGGTTCGAGGGCATGAGTAGCTCCGTATGATGTATTATGACTTGTGTGTATCGTCGGTTTTAGTTTTCGAGTGGTTCAGGATTGATTTGGAAGGATGATTCTCCTTTTGGAAGCTTTAAGTTGAAAGAGTTGACCAAGTTTGACTTTTGTATATTTGACTTCGGATCGGAGTTTTTATGGTTTCATTAGGTCTGGATGGTGCGTGTGCCCGAATTTGTATTTGGATGTTTCTACAAGGTTTGGCACTATTCGGCGAAAGTTGGCAATTTGAAGGTTTGGAATGTTCATAAGTTTGACTGAGAGTTGACTTTGATGATATCGGGTTCGATTGTGGTTCTGGGAGTTGGAATAGATTCTCCATATAATTTAGAACTTGTGTGCAAAATTTGAGATCATTCCGAGTTGATTTGATGAGGTTCGCCACGAGTTCTGGAAGTTGAAAGTTCAAAAGTTCTTCAAGTTTGATTTGGAGTGCGATTCGTCGTTTCGATGTTGTTATGAGTGATTTGAGGCCTCGAGTAGGTCCGCGTTATGTGTTGGAACTTGTTGGTATGTCCGAAGGGAGTCCCCAGGGGCTCGGGTGAGTTACGGACATGGTTCGGATCATTTTCGTCTCATGTATTGCTGAAGATGGCATGGTGATGATGTTTCCACATTTGCGGAAGTTTGGACGCGAATGCGAGTTAGCAGATGCGGGCAAATTATTGTAGAAGCGAAGGTGGCCTGGTCGTCGAGAAGTCACAACTGCGGGGAGCTGGGCCGTATCTGCGAAAGCGCAGAAGCGAGGAACTGGGGCGTAAAAGTGAGAATGTGCGTAGGAGCGGATTAAGGATCGCACGTGCGATGTCGTAGAATCGGAGATATTTTCGAAGGTGCGAGAGGTTAGATTTTAGTGAATTTCCGCAAAAGCGACGCCGCAGAAGTGGCAGGTGGTCCGCAAAAGCGAAATGTTTAGGCAGAAGCTTATATATTTGAGGGTTTGTTCATTTTGTCATATTTTGAGTTGAGGACCTCGGATTTGGGTGATTTTGGAGGCGATTTTCACCACATGGATTGAGGTAAGTATCTTTGACTTGGTGTTAATTATGTTCCATGATTCCATCTTCGATTTTGCCATTTTATTGACGATTAAAAAGTAAAATTGGGAGTTTTGTCTAACTTTCCTAAAGTGAATAATTGAGTTTTGAACATCGATTCAGAGTCCGGTTTAACTGAAATTAGTATGGTTCGACTCATAATTGAATGGGTTGTCGGAATTTGTGAGTTTCGTCGAGTTTCGAGGTGCGGGCTCGGGTTTATTTTTTGGTTGACTTTGAGTATTTGATTAATGATTCGACCTTTATTGACTGGGTTTTTTTCCCTAAGGCATTATTTGATGTTTTGAATTTTTTTGGTTAGTTTTTAGCCGCTCGGAGGTCGACTCGCACGTGGTGAAATTTCTAGAGTATTGTTTGGCTTGCTCGGTAATTGATTTGGCTTATTTGAGATAAGTATCATATCTAAACTTGGTTGAGGCACTAGTTGCCTGAGTTATTTATAATAGCTACGTGCTATAGGTGTGCATATGTGTGGGGGACCGAGCCCATGTGTGACCCCCGGGATATTTATCCATGCTCGGACTCGTGCTTAGGCTATAATATGTCTAGAATTGACTATTAAGCTTTATATTATAATGTTTCTCATATTTGTAATATTATTGTGAGCTACTTGAGCCATGTTTGAGGTTACGTATAGACTAATAAACTTGGTGATTGTTATTTCTGTGATGATTTGTCAATTTGAGCTATGATAGCACACTTTGCATACACTTTATCATGTCATTATACCAGTTCAGGAGCAGGAAATTTGATACTCATTCATCATATATATGTGTTCCTATATATTTGCTTCTATGTGATATGATTTGCATTGGAAGCCTGTGACCACGCCGGGCGGATTGTGTTATTATGTGTGTGGTGCCGCGCGGATTATGTTATTATGTATGTTACCATGCCGGGCGAATTATGATATTAAGCCTGTGACCGTGCCTGACAGATTATGATATTGTGCATGTGACCACGCCAGACGAATTGTGATATTTACACGTGAGTTGTCCATGCAACACGTGAGTTATTAATGCGATTGATATTATTAGCATGGGAGTTGTTCGTGACTTGTGACTTGTACTACCAGTCTTTGGTTATTGTATAAGAATTCAATTATTTCATCATTTATTTCTTGGTAATCTTATTTGGAATGTGTTTATAGATAGTTCGCTTACGTAGAGGGTTGGGTTAGGTGTCATCACAACTAGTTGGATTTTGTGTCGTGATAATATTTCTCCCCTTTTTTTCCTGTGTGGATACCCCAAATCCTGCGTAAATACGGAATGCTTTATGCATCAAGGTGTCTTTTTTTTTTTTTTTTTGTGTAAAAGAAAAAAGACCAGCTAGTGGTAATTAGTAGCAACTAAGTAATCAAGAAAAACTGTTGGTATGTACTTTTTTTGTGATGGACCGATTTAACTTAGAAGTTGTGAAATTCAAATCCTTAAAATATCGTACCAAAATTTTATTCGAAATTCCTCTTTTCCATAACTACTTAGTTGGTTGCAATTTTGGATAATGATTTAGCACTTAACTATAATTATTAAATTTGAAATGAAAACTGGCCTAAAATTCCCTTAATCAGAAATAGCCCATCCATAAAGCAAATAAATCTTGAAAACACAGCACCTATTTTCTTATGGTAAAATTCGTTCACCTACTGAAATCTTTTTACTTCTAAGCTTCCCATTGCCCATAACAAAAGCTCTAGTCTTTAACATAAAAAAGACTGGCAGTGGGCTCTTCAAATAATTCATTGCTTGTAATTTACTTCACTCTTCACATGCTAATTTATGTACCATGATACTACTCTAGTATGAGTGGTTGATTCTACCGCTCTTTAAAAAGGCCGGCCGGTGCACGAAGCATTTCGTGTTTACGCCGAGTTCTAAGAAGAATCGAACACAAGGAGGAGCAGTGGCGGTTCTAGAGTATAGTTACTGGTTCCAGAAACCAGTAACTTTTGAATTCATTAAATATCCATGAATATATAACTGTGAACCTGGTTATTATTGCATATTAATTTGAAATTACAACAGAAACCCATAAACTTCAAATTCTGGATCCGCCTTTGAAGATGTAGACAATCTACCCTGAACCAAGGATCAGTGGTTGATTTTACGGCTCGAACTCGATCGTGATCTATAGAGACAACTTCATTATTGCTCTATGACTCCCCTTCCTTGTATAAAAAATAATGATTAAATTTATATTTGTCATCATGTAAAAGAATATTTAAAACAAGTATTAGTTTAACCTGAAAGTTACCTATCTTATTTTCTAGGTTATAACTCGTTTCACTTATAATAAGAAAAGTTACTTTTTAGGTGACATTAATAGTATAAAATTTTATGCTATGTTACAATTCTCTATAATAGTATTTTGCTATAATATTCAAAAATTACTGAACAAATAAGACTATTATAGAGAGGTTTGATCTTGAAGAGTTTTGATCTATGTATATTGTGACGCTAGTCCCACCTAAAACAGTTTATTGTTAAATTAAAGCAAAAATAAATTGGAGTAGAAGGCTATCATTCTCTTTTATATTTGTATAAAATCGGATCCTCAACTCGTATAAAATTGACATGTTTTCGGCATGGTCACTTTTCTGATGAAAAAAATTATGAAATTCTCATAACCATCACAAACAAAGGCATGTAAAAATGACTAGAAAAGAGGAAATTTGGTTAATTCTTAATCTAGAATCATCTACTTTAAAATCTAAAATGACTAAGAAAGAATTAGATTTATCCCTCTACTTTCATATTGCAGTCAAGTCTTTCGTAAAATATCATTTGTTCCGATACTTTTTTACTTTTATAGTGAATGGCTATTATACACCTATAAAGCATTTGACGTTTAAATATATTTTGACTGTGATAGACAAAAATTATAACGACCCGACCGGTCGTTTGAGCTCTAGCACGTCGTCCGGCGGTTTGAGGCCTTGAGTAGCTTCACTTCATGTCTTATGACATGTGCATGTGATCGGAATTGAATTTCGGGAAGTTCGGTGTTGAATTGAAAAGAAAATTCTAAACTCAGAAGCTTGAAGTTGGAAGAATTGACTAAGGTTTGAATTTTGAGTAAACGACCTCAGAATCGGGATTTGAAGGTTCCAATAGGTCCATATGACGATTTCGGACTTGGGCGTATGTTCGGGTTGAGTATCGGATGGTCCGAAAGTCTTTCACCACTTATTGTAGAAAGTTGGCATTTTTGAAAGTTTTAGAATTTCATAAGTTTGGTTTGAAGTGGGATTTGATGTTATCGATATACGTGTGGGGTTCTGGGTCTTAGAATAGATTCGTATCGTGATTTGTGACTTGCACGCGAAGTTTGGCATCATTCCATAATATTTTGAATGGTTTGGGCGCGTTCGTCGAAATTTGAAAATTTGAAGGCTTAAAGGATTTCGATCGTCGATCCGTAGTTTCGATGTTGTTTAGTGTGATTTGAGACCTCGACTAAGTTCATATCGTGTTTTGGGATGTGTTGGTATGTTTGGACGAGGTCCCGGGGGTCTCGGGTGCGAATCAGATTGGAAACGGATCGAATTTGGACTTGGAGGAATTGCTGAAGCTTAAGGCTTCCGGTGCGATCGCACCTGCGAGGTTATGGCCGCAGGTGCGAGACCGCAGAAGCGGCCCATGGGTCGCAGAAGCGGTAGGGAGTGAGGCCGGTTGGATTCGCAGGTGCGAGAAATTTACCGCACCTGCGGGCTCGCAGATGCAGGCGGAGAAGCGCAGAAGCGGACGTGGTCTGGGCTAAATGATCGCAGGTACAGGTGGAACAACGCACTTGCGGAGCGGCAGATACGGTCATGGGCTCGCAGGTACGGAGTGGTGCTCGAGATGGGGAGTCCGCAGGTGCGGATGGTTTCCGCAGAAGCAAAAGCGCACATGCGATTGAGTGTCCGAAGAAGCGGAAAAGCTGGGCCCTTCGGGGAAAGCCGCATCTACGAGGCAGCTTCCGCAGAAGCGGCTAGTGGACCGCAGGTGCGAGGGTCACTGGACAGATTGTTTAAAAATCTGGGTTTTGCTCATTTCACTCATTTCTCTCCTGGTTTGGGCAATTTTTGGAGAGCTTCAAAGGGAGATTTTCATCATCTATGGCAAGGTAAGTAATTCCCACATATTGTAAGTTGGAGTCGGTTATAGAACTTCGGAGCGAGGTAAGTCTCTTGTCCAACTCTGTGAGGGGGAAACTACCCCTAGGTATGTATTTGATATATGATACTTGTTGCGGGGGCTACATACGCGCGAGGTGACGAGAGTCCGTGCGTAGCTAGATTCATGTTATGTCCGGGTAGACTAAGGTTCCCGTCATGCTATAACTATACTATTTGAGTTGTTCCTTGCCTATTACATTCCTTAATTTTTCTTCACGACTTGAGACTAGACTTGCTTAGAGTGATAGACTTGATATTGTAGATATTTGACGAGCTTCATGATTAGCTGTGAAATAATTGCACTCCTCTTACGGATTTCTCCCGTGCTATGCGTTTTCCTCAAAGGTTTTTCTTACAAATTTATAACTCACATGTTTATTCGTGAATGGGATCAAGGACCTGTTAAATCTTCGTATTCTAATGGGATCGGGCCATTTCCCTCGGCAGAATTATGTACCACACTCTCATGGGAGTGGGCCGTTTGCCTCGGCAGTATAATAGATGCATATATGGTTCGTGCCGTTCGACACTCGGCGGTGCGCACAATATGATGGGATCGGGCCGTACGCCTCGGCATTTCTATAAAATACTCCTACCTTATCGTGCGTAATATTTGACAAAAAGCCAGTGTATCTGTGAGTTTTTCTGATTTGAATTGCGACGACCTATCTGGCGAGGTCTATTATATATATGCTCCGGTTGAGCACGTAACTACTAATTGAATGCTTGAGTTTATTGTCGAGAGGAGGATTGTACCTCGTATTATACTTGTTTATTTCGTTTACTTACTCTACCTCGCATCTGTTTACTTCTTACTGTACAGGCTTTATTGTACCACTAGTAAGTATCAATGTCGAACCCCTCGTCACTACTTCTCTGGGGTTAGGCTAGATACTTACTGGGTACGCGTTGATTTACGCACTCTTGCTGCACTTATTGTGCAGGTACATATATGTCTGGTGGTCATTTAGGCGCAAAGGCGCATCTATTGCGCGGACTTACCGAGAGCTGCATTCCATGTTACGATCCGCAGTCTGTAGAGTCTCCATCAGAGTTATTTATATTCTCCCGTCTAATTTGTATTCCAAACAAATATTGTATTTTATTATATTTCCTAGTTGATGCTCATGCACTTGTGACACCGGGTTTGGGGAGTTCCTACTGGTCGTTCATTATTGTAGTTCACGTAGTTATTAACATTTCACCTTGAAATTATTTTTACTATACAGGAATTGGAAAATAAAATCATGTGTTTTGTACGAGTACCAACTTTCATATTATTTAATCAATGAAAATTTTGATTTCAAAGTAATAAGATGAGTAAATAAATTGATCAATCATCGTTGGCTTGCCCGACGACGATGTTAGGCACCATCACGACCTTTAGTAGATTTTGGGTCGTGACAAAAATAATCCAAAAATTAATTTTTTTTCTCCTTATCTAATGTTACATATAAATTATAAAAAATTATTCAATTTCAAATCTCAAGAGATATGCATATTTTACTAATTAAATATTAAAAAAAGCTAATACATTATTATTAAATCCATATCCCAACGTACAAAAATTTAAACTCTATGGCAAAAAATTTAAAGCTACTAGAAAAATAAATTCTTTCAAGAATGATGGAAGAACTTTATAACTATAGGTTGTTTGTATATTTCATTCTCTTACTAGCGATATAACGCTTGATTGGCGAAATTTTTTGTCCAATTTTTCGGTAAAAGGGTATCCAACAGCTTTCTCTTGAAGGCAATCTAAGAGCTTAACAGTTGAATCTTCTATCTGAATATTTTTTGGCATTTGTCCAATGGAAAAGATATCATGCGAAGGTCTTCAAATTTTATATATTATGCGAGATGAAAACCTTTTTGTTTTTTAGAAAAATCGGCAGTCGATAACCTTCGGGTGCAAACTGGGTAATCTGTTCACTGCAGTAGCTCGAGATTTAAACCACACTAGGCAAAGATAAAAAATTTTGCTCAATGCAAAGATTGTGTGTAGATTTATAGAATTATTAGTAATCTTAGAGATACTACATGGCTATTATAAGTGGGTCATTTTACAAAGAACGTTTCTATAAATATGGATATTGTTTTATAGGTAAAAATGTATTATGTTGAGGTGAAATTAACTTAAAAATCGATTCCGTGGATAACTTAACTTTTATAGTGAATGAGCGTCATATAAAGATGTTATTATAGAGAGATTTGATTATATCTATATTCATACATATATACCTATAATTAAATATATAGTGTTACCTCAATTTTGTCACTAGTTACGGTAAACTAATATAGAGTACAAATATGGGTAATAAATAATATCCCAAAAGAAAACCTTATAAAATTCTTTTGTTTTTTCAACAAACTTTCCCTATTTTATATTTTTCCTCACACCCAATTACCCTTTTCCGAAAGATAAGCCCCTCAAAGAAAGAGACAAGAAAAAAGAAAACAAAATTCCATTTGTTTCCAAATTTTATTAAACCCAAAAAACACGGAACCTCTGAAAAAGACAACTATCCAATACCTTATATAACCTTTTAAATTATTCACACATTTGCAACTCTTTCCATTCACTTTCTTCCTTCTACTTCTATGATGTCTTCAAAGAGCAAGAAAAAATGGAATTTTGGGAAATTATTCATATCCAATGGAGTTGGTTGTAGTGGTTGTCGTAAGCCAAATTCAGTAGACATATTAGAACCAAATCCAAAGCCAAAGTCCAAAATCCCTATTCTCACAAATCAATCACCTAAAATTTGTCACACTTCTTCTAGTTTTGGGGAATTCAATGATAATGATCTTGATGAAGATGATCACACTTCCATCACATTTTCCATCAACATAGATTCATTATCCCCCTCTAGTTCTAATCAAAATGATTCTACCAATTTATCACCGTCAGAAGCGAATTCAAAATCTAGAGTCAGCCTGTTTCCAGAAATTCGTGGTGGTATTGCTGTCGTCAGGAACTCAGATGATCCATTTCAAGATAATTTCACTTCCACCACCCTCTGTACTAACATAGATTCATTATCTAAACCTATTTTTGATCAAAATAATGATACCAATATATCACCACCGGAAGCGAATTCAGAATTTAGAGTCACCCCTTTCCCAAAAATTTGTGACGGCGTTATTGTTGTCAAGAACTCAGATGGTCCATTTCAAGATAATTTCACTTCCACCACCCTCTGTACTAACATAGATTCATTATCTCCACCTATTTCTGATCAAACTAATGATACCAATATATCACCACCAGTAGCGAATTCAGAATTTAGAGTCACTCCTTTCCCAAAAATTTGGGACGGCGTTATTGTTGTCAAGAACTCAGATGGTCCATTTCAAGATAATCACACTTCCACCACCTTCTCTACTAACATATCTTCATTGTCTCCACCTATTTTTAATCAAAACAATGATACCAATTTATCACGATCAGAGGTGAATTCAGAATCTAAAGTCAGTTCGTATCCAAAAATCCGTGATGTTACTGTCGTCAAGAATTCAGATGATCCATTTCAAGATAATCACACTTCCAACACCTTCTCTACTAACATAGATTCATTATCTCCGCCTACATTTGATCAAAATGATGATATCAACTTTTTGCTGCTGTCAGAGGCGAATTCAGAATTTAGAGCCAGCTCATGTCCAAAAATTCATGGCAGTGTCGCGGTGGTCAAGGATTCGAGTGATCCATTTCAAGATTTCAAGAAATCCATGCTCCAAATGATATTTGAGATGGAAATTTACTCACCTGAAGATTTAAAGGAGCTATTGAATTGTTTCCTACATCTTAATTCGCCTTCTTATCATGAGATTATTATTCAAGCTTTCTTGAATATTTGTGCCAATTGAAAGATTATATTTTGAACATTTTTTTTGAAGGGTTTATCACGAGGTTTATGAAAAGATGTAGGAGGAGGAAAAAAACTTTGATTTTATGAAACAACTATTAGTAGTTGATATCCTTTTTATATTTTTCATTTTATGTGGTAGTTTTGAGACTTTACTAAATTGGTTTTCCATTTATATACATGCTGTACATTTTGAGTACCATACAAATTGAGTTTTCGTCTATGTATTTTTAACATTTTATGTGCAGGTTATGGTTCTAAATTATGTATTAATACCCATGTGGTTATGTTGCCACTGAATTTTGCAGTGGTTTCTTCATCTTCATCATCCCTGCGTAACTATCAAGTCATTGGCTTAACGCAGCCTTTTGAAAAAAAGTGGGGAGATTTCTTTTTCCTTTTTTGGTGTTTGTAGGGGGGGGGGGGGGGGGGGGGCATAATCTTTTTCATTTTAAAACAATGCCAAAATTCTTAAAAGAAACATATTATTTTAAGTTTAACATGCATTTCAACTACAAGCCAGCATAATTCTTCTAAATTTTGAGTTGATAATGAGGGTTGTTTCTATTAAATATTGGGAGGTAAAACTTCCCTATAAACAAATAGCGATGGTTTTTATATATATATGTGTATCTAGAATTGATCAGTCATTCTAAATAAATATTTTTACGTAGTCATTTAAGGTAAAAATAGCACGGTCTAGCCAGTTTTCGGACTGGTCATTCAAAAATTGTCAGCATTTACCAAGTCAATAAAAAATAGCCACTATTTTGCTACAACAGAGACTGGTCCAGCATAATATACTGGAGTTCGGTGCACATGTGTATGAACTTCCAGCATATTATGCTGGAACTCCAACACACGGAAAATTCCAGCATAATATACTGGAGATTCGAGCACTTGTGTATGAACTTCCAGCATATTATACTGGACCGATATACTTTACTGGAACTCCAGTATATTATGCTGGAGTTCTAGTGTACTTATGCTGGAACTCCATCATATTATGCTGGAGTTACAACATACTTATCCTGGAACTCCAGTATAATATGTTGGAGTTCAAGTATACTTATGCTGGAACTCCAGCATAATATACTGGCATATTTTCCGGTTTTGAACAGTGTTTTCGCTCAGATTTATCTTTACATGAAAAATGGCTAAATATCGATTACTTTTGAAACTGAGCTATTTTTGAACGACCACTTGTAAATCTGACTATTTTTGAATTTCTCCCTCATTTAAGTGAATGCAAAATCTAGAGACGAGAACTAAGAATTTCTTGTTCTTTTTTGGGTCCCTTTTGGGCTAGTGAAGTAGGTTGTGTGATGGTAATTGTTTAAATAAAGTGAAAAATTCCTCGGCCAAATTTTTTATCTAAATTTGATGGGTTCGGCTCTGACAGTTAATTCTATTATGACTTTATATTTATAAGTTTAAACTTAATATTTATTTAAATGTTAGTGAATTTTAACTTATACATCAATATTCCGCATTAAAAGAATCGGAGTTCAGATCAACCAATAGTTGTATCCACATGTTAGTACTTGAATAGTGTACAACTAGAACTCTAGTATAGTCAGACGTCTCTATAACAACATACTTATATAATAACACTTTACTATAAAAGCCAAATTTTTCCGGAACCAATTTTCTGGTTTTGTTACAATATATGCTTTGTATAACAACACTTCACTATAACATCCAAAAATATTCGGAACAAACGAGGATGTTATAGAGAAATTTAACGATATTCATTTTAAAACATGTATCTGTGATCTCGTGATTCAAAAGGAAACATACAAAATTAAACCTGACTTCCTAATATCACTTTAGGTATCAATTTTTCCTTCGTCTTCATTTTGTCATGTTACTTTCAACTGCTTTTTCAACTACGCATATTTACTTTCACCTGCTTTTTCTAACGTATTAATTTATCTGCTTTTGAAACTTATGTCTATAAAGTTTGGAGATGTCTAAAACCAGCAGTGTACACAGGAATTTTTGCAAGCGATGTTAAGATTTATAGAAGTACAGGAATATTCTTAGTCTATTAGTTTGTTGAATTTCAAGTTAGAAAAAGTCATGAGTTCATTTTTTAACCATATACCTTTTAGAGCAAAATCAAGCACATAACCGATGCACGAAGAGACAATTTATGTCAAGTGGTGTCAATTTTTTCTACTTATCTATTTGCTCACAATACTAGTTATATTTAGTAAAAAAATTCGACGAAGCGATGTCGCGTGACACCGCTTCGCCAAGAGTGGGTCCGCCCCTATCTAAAGTGTCACGACCCAAAATTCACTAACGGTCGTGTTGGCGTCGGACACCACTGTCAGGCAAGCCAACACCATTTAACTAGAAATTTCTCGTTTTAGATATTTCTGAAATCACTTCTTTTATACATTTAATAATAAATAATAAGTTCCACTGAATAAATAATGATGTCTTTACAAAACTACTAAACAATCCCGAAATCATCGCAGAACCCGGTGTCACAAGTGCATGAGCAATTACTAGGAAATCCAATAAAGTACAATAGCTGTCCGGAATACAAACTTGGACAGAAAGTAAATATAATACACTGAAAGGGACTCTGCTGGCTGCGGGTCGTCTCGAGAGATGCAGCTCACCTAAGTCTCTGTATCATCCGTGCTGCTACGCCCATTAGGCCACTAGAGGTACATGTGCCTGTGCAACAAAAATGCACAGCAAGTGTAGCATGAGTACAAAAGCAACGTGTACTCAATAAGTATCCCGCCTAACCTCGAAGAAGTAGTGGCGAGAGGTCGACTTCGACACTTACTAATGGTCCAATAATATCATTACAATAAAGAAGTGAATAAGTACGAAACAGGGCAATTATATGAAATAAGCATGTATAAAATACATAGTAACATCCCCTTTCTTCATTATTTTACTCAAGTTTTCAGCTAGTAAGTTCCCTTCGTAACAGGAGCACATATATAGATATGGTGGATTTGCTTAAAGAAGTTATTATAATTCAAAACAGGGAAGAATCCCCCAGGTTCACTGGCTTCTAGCCAAATGTCACGCACGATTCCATGAGAATAGTATATACATATACATATATAGGAAATGCTGAGGCGTACTGCCCGATCCAACATAAAAGTAAACTATGCACTGCCGAGGGTCGAACGGCGCGAACCATAGATGCATCTATTAACCTGCCGAGGCGAACGGCCCGCTCCCATGAGAGTGTGGTACATAAATCTTGCCGAGGCAAACGGCCCGATCCCATAAGAGTAGTGGAAAAAATACCCCGCTCGCGAATCATACGTGCGACGCGGTCAAATATAATTTACGAAATTTTCCGCTCGCGAATCATACAAGCGACGCGGCCAAATATATTTTATTAATAATTCAAAATCCTTTTCTTGATTCTTTTCAAAATAAGAACAATTCAACGTGAAGTTTTTAAAGATATTTTCCCCGCTTGCGAAATGCCCATGCGACGCGGTTACACATAGATTCTTAAGTCATTAAAATATTTCTCAATTCTTTCGAAAATACGAAGTTTCATGGAAACCCTTAATAAATCATAAATCCCTCAATTCAAACTCCTTTCAACACAATTATTACGCAACCCTAATCTTGTTTCTTCTCAAGACAACAATAATATAAATTAACAACAATATCAACAAAGCATGATGTAAGCCTAAACTACCCGGACATAGGCATAATAGTAGCTGTGCACGGACTCTCGTCACCTCGTGCGTGCGTAGCCCCCACAAATAAGAGCACATAATAATTTAGTTCGCCTGTGGGGTTAATTCCCTCTTACAAGGATAGAAAGGAGACTCACCTCACTCCGAAGTTCCATAACCGTTATTCCATGCCCTTCCGAAAACTCAAATCGATGCACATTGCTCCAAAACTAGCCAATAATTATGTAAACTCATTAATATATGATCAATTACTCATTATAATCCAATTTATAACAATTCCTAACCCCGATCGAAAAGTTAACAAAATTGCCCTCGGGCCCACGTGCCCGGATTTCGAAATTTTTCGAAGATAAAGTCTATCCATAACCTCACAAACTCAAATATATAATTTACTCCCAATTTCGTGCCCAAATCGTGGTCAAAATCCAAGAATACCTGGTTTTTCTTCAAAACCCCAATTTTCACTAATTCCCATGATTTTCCATGTTAAAATCTAGATATAATCCAAGTAATTAACTTGCAATAGGTGGAAATCACTTACCTTGACATGGATGATGAAAATGGAGCTCCAAAATCGCTCCTAGGTCGGCTCCCATGGAGGAAAAGAGATGAAATGAGCCAAACCCATTTCTTTACACTTATACACTGCCCAGACGACTCTTCTTCGCGTTCGCGAGACCCTCGTCGCGTTCGCGAAGAAGACAATTCCCAAAAACCATTTTTCAAACACTTATCAGACAGCCTCTAGTATAATGGCCATAACATTTTGTACAAAACTCCAAATGACAAATGGCTTAATGTTTTGAGAACTAGACACCAAGATCTATAACTTTCTTATTTTGGAAATTTCCCAATTCTTTATAGATTTTGAGAAATAAGCTGCCAAAGTTAGCCCTGTGCAATACAAATTTCTTCTTCATCTTCCCGGACAGCCTGTAGTGTACCAGCCACAACTTTTCATACACAAATCCAAATACTGAATGGTTTACCTTTCTGTAAACTAGACACAAAGGGCTACAACTTTAGTTTTTGGATCATCTCCAAATCCCTTGTAGATTGTGAGATATGAGCCTCCGAAGTAAGACCTGCGCAACAGAACTTCTTCTTCTTCGCGAACGCGAAGAACAAAATCCTAGAAGCAAAATCCTTCTTCGCGAACGCGAGGATACCCTCGCGGACGCGAAGAACAACACCAAACACCAGCATCAGCAGTTCCAACACAGCCCGAAATGCTCCAAAACCACCCCGAAACACACCCGAGACCCCCGGGACCCCGTCCAATCACACAACTCAGTCCCCTAACATAACACGGACCTGCTCGACGCCTCAAATCACGTCAAACAACGCTAAAACCAT